ACATGTATAAAAATATAGAAATAAAAGAAATGCAGGTTTTACTCTGTGCTAGATCCTCTGCTAGTAAATGTCTTCCTGGATAACTAACAACAATGTTTGAAGACAGAGTTGATGTTTGGATGAAGAATCAGGTTTTCAGCTCACTCTAGCAGGGTTGGTTACCAGTCTGCTTCCATAAACTTCATAGGATCAATGAACAGACAAACAAATCAGCTAATTAGTGTTAACAAAGATAATAATCAAATATTAGACTTTTACTCACCAAACCAGAAACACAAACTTCTGGGAGAGTTTGTACCACGCAGAAACACATCATATTAGCCAATTAAATTGTCATAAAAGGCACCAACAGCACAAGCATGGAGGTAAGATCCAGCTCAGTGGCTTGAATTAGCAGAGGTGATACCTAGAAGACCCAAACTGCTTACAGTTGCTTGTGTCTGGATGCCTGTTGGTCAAATTGGCCGCGCCCCCAGCTTCTAGTATCCAGAGTCCTTAAAAAACCCCTCTCTGCTCAGAGATTTTGTAATAAGTGAAAAAATGCACAGAAACTATTTTTCGTTCTTTAACGATGCTGTCTACTGTCTGGATATTTTAACATTAGGATTGACCTTCTTTTAGAGCAAGGCAATTTTCAGCTCCAGTGGTTGCCCTTTGCTTTAATACCAAAGACCTGGCAACCCTAGCAACCACTTTGTAACTTTTTTTGTCCATTATTAAGCATTTTTGATTCTAATAATCAGTCTGTAGACTCAGACTTTGGAATAAAAGCTGGGAAATCTTGGGAAAAAAAATCTGTCTCAGAACTTTCTGAGGTACAATAAATCGTTTTAAAGCCACATCAGGTATTTACCTGCACACATACACATCCAGTGACATAAAATAATCAAACCATGTCAATAGCAGTGCAAACGCTGAACACAGAGAACTGAACTGTAGTGGATCACACAGTGTAATATCAAGCCGATTCTCCAGCCATCTGGCATCCAAATTTAGCAGCAAGCCCAGCTCGTTTTCCTCCTCTCCAAGCCCATAAGGAGGAATTTGTTCCAGGAAAAGCTGGTATCAAAATTTGGAATTTATTGAAAGCTTCCCCCCCCTTTTTTCCTGTATAATCATGTTTTGGATATAAGATAAATATCAGAATCCATACTTCTCTCCATCAAAAGAAATAGATATAGAGCGTCTTGGACGACATGATCAACACGACCAGGCGGCCAGGATTTGTCACGCCTCCTTCTATCTTACAACCGCTTTGAGATCGTCCAACTTTTCTTTTCTCTTAAAACTTCTTGATCTCGAATTAACTTGCCAGTTGAAACTTTCGATTTGAAGCTAGCAGTTGAAGATTTTTGGGGATTTTTCTCCCTGACTTCCCTATTTTATTTCTTCTGGTATCTCTCTCTCTGTCCTTCTCTGCGCAGAGTTCCTGAGAGAAGAGGTAGTTGTTGTCCTCACGGCTCAGTTCATCACTCTCTTCAATCAGACGGCGCTGGAGGTGAGAGCAGCGACCATCGAGATCCATCAGGCAGCGATTCCAAACATTTCACACTATGTCACACTGTGTACCATCCAGAGTGAATAACAGGGAGTCTTCTAAGACCTAAACTTTTGGGAAAATAATCAGTTAAATGCTGAAGCACATAATCAGCCTCTGTGTAAAGATCCATTCTCACCTCTCATTAAACTGACCTAACTGAATACTCTGGTTACCTTTCTTTACCTCTGAATGGACCGCTTTGCCTAAATGACTGGTGTCTTTCTAAAAATTCACAGACCATGGTGACCCCTCTTACGCAGCGCCACTTCAACTTTGGCGAGCTGGGCAACAGCCTCATGTACAGCCTGTGCGGGGTGGAGGTCATCCTGGGCTTCTTCTTTGTACGCTGGCTGAGCAGGAAGGTGGCGGACCGCGCCGTGCTGGCAGCGGGCCTGGTCATCTGCTGCACCGCCTGTATCTGGTGCCTCATCTTCCTCTGCAACCCCCGAGGTGCTAACCTGCCTGTGAAAAACCACACCCACAGACACACACACACAAATGCAGGCACACACAGACACAAAAATGCCTCTTTTTCTGAGCCAAATCCTTTCTGTGCCACCAGTGTCGGTGTGTAGAGCACAGCAGAGCCATATTGGGTTACACACTGGCTGAACTGAGTGTGCTCTGTAAATGATATCATTCAGCAGGATACCATAGAGGCAAACCGGATCCTGTATGTTAATGTTGGCCTGCGTCTGTTGCAGCTCGTCACGTTTATCGCTCTTATTACAAGTGACAGGTGCTGGAGCTGGGTAGTGCCTGAGTACATATAAAAGGATTAGAGTAATCAAATTTAGCAAAAATGCTATTTGTTAAAGCGTGGCTGTCATTTGTTTGCCATTTGTTAACCGTTGTGGTTAAAGCAACCGAACAAAGACATAAAACCCGAAAGAAAGACACCTAAAGAAAAACTATTTTATCCTTTGGGGCCACCGAGAGGCATGTTTGATTGGTGAAACTGTAATTTGACCGTAAAATTATAGACTTTCAGCTCATGCAAGAACTTCCAACAATTCGAGTCGGCACAAATTCATACAGGCATGTGCATGATGCAAAGCAGCAGAGAACAAAAATCGAGTGGTTGCCAGCTTGGCAGGGGTTTCGTTTTTCAGATTGAGCCGTCTCTGGTGTTGCCAGCCCATTTGTGGGAGAAACTTAAAAACTGACGGACGAGCTGGGCAACCGAAGCATGATCTGCCACACTCTTTGAATGATCATGACTCCACATGAGAAATAAGAAGCTTCAGAACTGTCATATTTATTGGCCAATGGGTCTATCAAATATAGGTATGCGAGGGTTTATGTTGGATTGCGCTAAAGGTAATTGCTGAATTATGTATTCCATTTACTCTGTGATAAACTACTTTAATTTAGCAATCCTGTGATATCATCTTCCCACCCCTGCCAGGTGGTTATGGATGGGAGCTGTCGGCCTTCATCATCGGAGTGTTTCTGCAGCTGCTGGGGCTTCCCTTTGTGGCCGTGTCTCAGGTGTCTCTCTTCTCCAAAGTCACTGCTGAGAAAACACAAGGTTGGCTCATATTACCTTGGCACCGTGTGCTGGCTCAACACATTAAAACAACAGATTGTTGCTCAGCGCATGTGATGCATAGAAAAAAAAATTACACGTAGCGAACTTTAAAGCCATATTGTTATGTTTATATCTGAAATAAATAACCTAATATTTTGTGATCCCTCACCAAAAGGATTCAGCCAAGGTGTCAGACGCTCAGTTGGGGGCCTGGCCACAATCTTGGGTCCCTTGTGGGCTGGAGGATTGACTAATAATTTGTACATAATGTTGGGCATGATGCTGGCACTACTCCTTATGATCACAGTAAGTAGAACAAGGCGCTCAGCAATAGTGTAGTGTTACACAGACTGGCTATGTGGCTGTGTTCTGTCAGGTGTTTAGCTTAGCTTGGCTTAGCACGTAATCTATTATGTGGTACTAACACATATCTACTATCACTGATAAACCAACGGGATAAGACATGCCATATACAGTTATTTAACCGATACAAAAGAGAAACTGGAAAGTTTTGTGTTGTTCAAATTTTTATTCTTTATAGAGTGCTAAGCTAAGCTAAGCTAAGCTATAGCTTGTAGCGTTTATGTCATAGATCCAGACCTGAAATTCCTCCAGAAGTAGTGATATAGCTGCTGCAGGACAGCAATTTAACTGCAAAATGACATAAGCGTTCAGCAAGCTTGCTTAAATAGAGAATTAATTTTGTTTTGCAATCACTTGAGTCAAATCCCCTGTTGCAAGGAGACCTATTGCAGACAGGTTGCACTTTTTGGTGCAGAATAATTGATTGATTGCAGTGAGCTGGCAACCTCTACAAGGTATCTGAGAGTGATTGCAGTTAGTCTGAGGGGGGGACCATGATCATCCACCTGTGCAGTTGCCTTAGTACTAAAAGTGCGCACCACGAACTTTTCTGTTCAGCTCAATTCTTTTTATATAGCACCAAATCACAACAACAGTTGCCTCCATGCACTTTTTATCCGGTTGTTCAGTCTGACGTCACTACC